TCTTGGACCGGGACCCTGGCTCCCAGTTCATCCAGAGAGCAGCTGGGCCCAGCCACCTTAGGGCGCGCCTCCCAGGCTCAGCCATCTAGAACCAGCCTCTTTGTTCCTCACTGTTTTTCAAATATCGCAGATGCAGTGAGCACCCAGGTCCACTGCTTTTTAAATGTCCACCAGGTGCACAAAAAGCTGTTTTACTTGGAGGCTGGGGCATAATGGTGCATACGCGAGGTAAAAGGCTTTTGCCCTTTTGACACCGAAGTCATACGAAGTGACAGAGAAACTAAACACAGCTGGCGTTAGAGCAGCCAGCAACAGCAATTTCCCTGTGTTGAAAGATTTCCAAAAAGTAGAGAGCGCAGGCCCTTGGTCAGGGCAGGGAGAGGCAGGACGCCGGGGTATTGTGACCTGCTCCAGGGAAGGGCAGCTTGTCCCGTGACCAACAGAGGCCCGGGCCCAGAGGGGCAAGAGAGCCGGACTGGACATGGAGCCTAGGGACGGGCCCTCCAGGGCCCCGCACGACGGGACGGATGAGTCACAGCAGCCGGCTGCGGCCCAGTGCATCGAGGGCCACCGCCTGATACTGCTGTTGGGCGAGCTTTGGAAGAGCGACCAGTGCTGCCTGACCCTGCAGGACATTCCGGAGAAGGCCCCTGCCCATCAGTCCTCCCGGCCCTCGTCCACCCGAGCCACGAGCGGGCACAGCAGCTCCAGCAACTGCGCCGCGCGGCGGCCCAAGCGCTCCGGCGACAGCTTGTGGAAGCCCGCCGACTGCCCCGCCGCCAAGTGCAAGCGCCCCACCCAGGAGAGGCCACGCCACAGGTGCAAGACTGCAGACCCGTGAGAGCCCGTGACGGCTCCGGCTCTGGCCGGGACCTGTGGTTCCGAGGCGGTGGAGGAGCCGGCGCCGGGATGCCGGGAGCCTTGCCAGCCGCCGAAGGCGCCGGAGCCGGGCGCGCGGCTGCTCCTGGCGCTGTGCTGCGCGTCTGCCGCTGCTCTCCAACCTGCGGCGGCTGCGGCTGCTCCTGCAGCAGGTGCACGCGCGGGATCGCCAGCCGCTCGCCGCGCTCGTCGGAATCGTCGTGCAGCCGCGGCCCGAAGAGGAGGAAGAGGCGCGCCGCCCCGTGGAGACCCTGCTTTGCAGTGCCTTCGCGCCGCACCGCCCCACCGTGGAGGTGCGCACGGCGGTGTTCAGCCCGAGCCGCCCCGAGGGCAGCCTGGACGTCCCGCGCGTCGGCAGCCCAGCCGAGCGCGGGGCTGCGTCCCCCTAGCGCATCCGGAGACCCAGACGGATGGTGAGGGGCCCGAAAGCGGGGGTGTGGGAAACTGCAAGGACGGAGGGAGTGCTGTGCTGGTCCAGTGTGGTGGACAAATCCCCGATGTCACCGTCCCTCTCCTCGTGGCCCTACCTGCACCACTCTGGGTGCAGATTAATTAGATTTCTCACCCCAGGTGTGCTCACGGGGCGATCTCCGGTCAAAAATGTTCGAATTTATTTAATTCGTAGAGTTACACTTGCACCCACCCACCCGACCCCTTGCCCCCTTGCCCCGTACTCCAAATCACACTTTTTTGCAAGGTACAGGTTTGGGAGTTTGTAGGACCTGGGCCCACACCTCCCTCTTCACATCCACTTATTTTTTGCTTGGTTCTGTGGGCTTCTCCTCCAAAGAAATCACAATTTACAGTAAAAACTGCCTACTGTGAACCAGGCACTGTACTAAGGGCTTTTTGGGTCTTAGCCTCACAATTGTGTTCCGGAAAAGGTGCTATGTCAGAGTAGCTGGCCGACTGCGCGATTCTTATTCAGCCCTTGAGAGCTTTCCTATCAGGGAATCCAGGCCTGTGGGCCCAGAGGGTCAATCTGTGGGTCTAGGGCCCTGGACAGGGGGCTCAGAAACGAGCACCAAGTGCCTTCTGTCTCTGAAGTCCCCTCCAGAGGCAGCAGCAGGGAAGAAAGAAGTGCTCTGGGCAGGGTGGTCCAATGTCCAGTTGCTCAAGGCTCTGCCACCTTCCCACTTGGTGACCAGAGCAAGCTGTCTCCTCTGAGGACGAGTTGCCCTCCTGACATGTGGGGGCCAAGGGTCAGTTGGTGTCTGAGGTCTCATCCAACTCTACGACACTAGCTTCAGGACAAATATTGACACGCTTGCTCTCGTGCCCTGGACACACCTGGCCAGAGGGCCAGGATCACTGGGTGTGGATTTTAACACCCTCGGAACTGTATCCTGACTACCTGACCTCGCATCCCCCATAGACTCCATCTTTCTCACTTTCCTGAATAGTCCATGAGGTTGCCCCATGGCTGCCATGTCCGGGAGGAGAGCTCAGACTGTTGGGTGGTCCTCAGCCAAGGCCAGAAAGCCCCAGTCCATCCTTGAAAAGAACCCCATGGTGATGCAGTCTGTGAGTGCCTTGTCCCCCATCGTCCATGCCCACCCTGCTTGCAATGATTTCCTGCTTTCTTCTTCCTCCTACCGTCGCCTTCAAGCGGCTTGTGTTGAGTTTCTTCTCTGGTCTTTGGCCCTCCAGGGCATTCACTGCCTGTGAGCAGGGACCACGTGAAAAGACAGGAGAACCATCATCCTAACTCCACGCAGTATATGAATGATCTGGGGCTTGGAAAGGGAGGGGTCACTTCCAGGCAGGGATCTCGAGAAAGGCTGTAGGAGGAGAGGAGTCCACTTGGGATGGATCTGGAAGATGGGACAGAAAGGGAGAGAGGTCTGATGGAGGGGAAGGGCTTTCATACATGCAGGGAAGCAGGCCTCCGTGCTCGCGGCTGCCAAGGCCTGGACAAGGTCAATGAGCCTGGGACACTGGTCTGTGACTGTGTTCTAGAGGAGTCAGACTCCTGCCAGGACCTTGTGCTCCAGCCAGAAGGCAGAGGGGGCCACGGAAGACCTTCTAGCAAAGTCCTACAATGCCAATCTTCCTCGTCCCTCTGGGCCAGCCTCACTCTACAGGCACTGTCTCCCTGCTTCTTGCTTAAAGAACGCACCCGTATTTTCTCCATTGCCGTAAACCTCTCACTCCTCTGTGTTTCCTCCATCACTCTCCCTGGGAACAGGGACTTCTTTTCTGTGCCACTTGGCCCCTCGGTATGACATGGCACGTTTCTTCCATCTACCAGGAAATACTACCCACGTGAGTTTGCCTTATCTAATTCATTTAAACCAGTGGTTCTCAACCAGGGGCAATTTTCACACACACACGCACACACCGGAGACATTTAGCATTGTCTGTAGACATTTTTGGTGGCCACAACTTGGGGCGGGGAGGGCAGGGGGACATGCTACTGGCATCTCTTGGCAGAGGCCAAGGATGCTGCTAAACTTCTCCAACACACAGGAGAATTATCTGAGCCAAAATATCAGTAGAGCTGAGGTTGAGAAACCCCGGGTTAAGTCAGGTGGAAACCCCAGGCAAAAGCCCACTGGTGTCTGAAAATTGAATACTGCAGAGATGAATGCTTTAGGAGTTCTTGACCTGTCTGCTTTATCTGGACGGGGTCCCTGACCCGGGTTTCCAGTCTCTGATTCTAAGTTGAATCCCCCAGAGGGATCCATCGCTCTTGACTTCAGGGGATTACTCACCTGCTCCCTGAACCTCCTCATGCTAAGGGTCAACCAAGTTCGATGCAACTTTATCGATCTGAGCCATCTTCCACTTCTAATCCCTGGTGCCTTTTTTTTTTTTTTTTTTTTTTTTTTTTTTTTCTTCTTCAATCTTCTCAAGACCTTTTTTAGTTCAGTAACGTTAAGGCCTATATAATGATCCGATTCCCTATTGCCTTCTGAAATCATGAAAGAGCTCTGAATGGGAATTTGGCCTTGTCGATGCTTCCAACCAGCTGTGTCACCTTGGAAGGTGATTGAACTTCCCTAAACCTCAGTTTCTCTTCTTTAAGTTCTTTTCAGGCTCTAGGATCCCTAAACTACTTTCTGTCATTTCATATTTCATATTGGCTCTGGCCTTGCGTGGAGGTGCCTTCTGGCTATGTCTGCCCTTAACCTTGTCCTGGAGCAAGGGCATCACCCCCTAGGAACATGCAGTTAACAGCTGAATATTCACCCACCTGGTGATGCATCAGTAGTGGAGATAGGGTCTTCTAATCTGAACACATCCTGTGTTGCAGTCACTGTGACGTTTCAGGTTGTCTTTAAAAAATGCTTTATCCGCGTCCATCCTAAAAGGAAAATCATATTTTTACCTTCAGGAAAGATTCAGAGTCCCCTGATCGACCCGATGACTTTGGGGTTTAAGAGGTAGTCAGTTGTTGCCAGCGTAATGAGTTCGAACAAAGCTGGTATGTTTTCAGGGGAACTTCTTTCACCATAACTAAGGGCTCTTATTACAGCTGGGGATCCCCTGCCCCTTCCCACAGGAGGGAGAGCAGGTTTGGGAAGAAAGGAGAAGCTATTTTAAGAGAACCTGAGTGGGGGGAGGGGGAACAGCTGATCCACGGACTCCCCAGTCTTCGGTAAAGTTACCTAAAACTCCCAGAGCACGTGGTGAAATCGTTTGGTTTTGGTATGTGGAAACCGGTGACAGAGCTGAGCGTCACATGAGCTTCACAGCCAGGGTGCCTCCGAGCGAAACAGAAAGCGCACAGGGACCCAGGAACACACCAGCGGGGAGGTGCCTGAAGGAGGCGCTCAGGTAGCAGAACCGTGGGGGCCCAGGTTGTCACAGGCCCTGTGGCCAGGCGGAACTAGGTGCTGGAGGGCCCAGCAGGTGCCTTCTGCCCATCCCCGTAACTGGGGAGGAGGGAGGGCAGCAGGCTAGTGTGGGCAGAGGACGCTGTCCGCAGA